GAACACTGCGCAAATGGTAGCAGAAGTGATTAAATGTAGATATGGTCCAATATATTTTAAAATAAACATAAAACAGTACTTTTCAAAAAATTTCACAAAAAATATGCTACTACTTCTTTGCACTTTCTACTACTAATTTTATTGTTTCCTCTTTAACATTTTAAACTCCTTTTATATACCCATTTTAATGCCTATGCTATATTTATAGAAATTTCTGCTATTATTTTTATTATTTCTTGTTATCTTGTTTAGGTGTTTGTTACTTAATCACGCAAAAACGGATAAACGGACGGGAGTAAAATTTGGCGTGCTGATGGCTTTTTGTCTGGTTTAACAAATAGAATACTTTTATGGTCTGGTTTGCTTGAAGTTTCGCACTTAGAATAGCTTATTTCCTGTATTAACATAAATTTGCTTGTTTGTATATATGTATTTTTATTTTTTCGATACAAGTGATTTCAAGTTGTTAATATTTCTTACAATATTTTAGTTGAATTTCAAAAACAACTACTACGCTGTATACTACTATTTTTAGTACACATTCCAAAAATTAATATACATTTATATTTTTACTGTTTTGCACCCTGCTGTCAGATGAAAGCTTACCCAAATGTTTTTATATCATTTTAAGGGACCTTAACAACTTTACATACACGTGCAGTGTTTTTTTATTTAACTTTACAGTTATTTTGGCTTGGCTTGTCAGAAAAAATTCGCTAATTCATTTCAAATGATTAAAATTTTTTATTACTATCCCAAAACTTTCAAAAAATTCCTACTTCTTTCTTATTCTTTCCGTGCTGTCTGTTGATTGCTTAGCCAAACGTATACCTGAACCATTTTGAGATATCCGTTTTCAAACTCCTTCAGTTCCTTTTTCGACTTTAAGTTGTATACTTATTATTTAATTGCATAAGCTTAAAAAACTACTACTTTTTTATTCTCCTTTCTACGAATATTTTTTATTACATATTTGTATAAAACTATAATCTAGTTTTTTTTTCATTTATACGCGTACCCCTCCTTTCTATAGATGACTCAGCTAATCGTATACCATTTTTCATTGTTGAGCATTTTCGTTATCTTTTACGGCAGTGTGTGCCTTTATCCGCTTTCTTGAAATTACTTTTTCAAACTATTTGTATTTTCTGGCACATCCCACCACCATTGCTTGAATTTACCACTCACTATAAAAATGTTATATTTTCTAAAAAAATTTAAACTTTATTTTCACAAATTTTTTAAATAAAATCCACTACTTTTCGTACTAAAATTTCTACTGCTAATTTTTTGCATCTTACTTCTTTCTACTCTGTTTTATTTTTCAATGTGCCTACCTAATTGCTAACACAATGGGCCTCATGCATAAAAAGTGAGCTTAAGCTCCGACTCGATTTTCAATACAAACTCTTGAGCTTGAGCTTGAGCGACCCTCCCTAGTACGTGTTGCGAATTTCAATCACAAATTTTCAAAGAAGTTTATATCTTTTTCTGCTGCCTTTAATTTTATTTATTTTCCACATATGTACATCTGTGAGAGCTAATATCTCAACGTATTTAATAACATTTTGTTATTATTTATCTAAAAAAAAGTTCGACACCTTTTTCTACTACCTTTTCAATTGCAGCATGTAGCCTAATTATTAAGATTTTTTCCCCTTTGGGCTACTTTTTTACATTTAAAAACTATCCAGTGCTATTTCTACTATTTATTTATTTTAAAAGTTTTAGTACATCTCTAAAGCGTTTTTGTTCTAAGCCCTTTACTTTTCTTAAATTTCAAAAGAAAATAGTACTACTTGTACTACGTTTTGAACTGTCACTTTTAGTACAGTTTTTATGCTTTTTCTCTCTGAGTTTTTTTTTAATATTTTTGAAAAAAGTATACTTTTATTTTCACTACTTTTTTCTTGTTTTTGTCTGCTTGCTTTTTTTAAACGAAAGTTATACATGTACTCAATCAGTTTTTACTTTCGGCTTCTTTCAGTACTACCAAGCAAAATGTAAAAAGAACAAAACGTATATGCATATCTTACCGTTATAGTTTTCCTACTTTTTCTGTAAACCAAAAAAAAAGGGTTTAAATCTACTACTGTTTTCATATATTTTTCTACTATATACTGTTTGCTTATAATTTATACAATAAACTTACTGAAATAGTTGTACTTCTGCTTTTAATCTTCGCGAAGAGTTTACATTAAACTGCTACCCTTTTGGGTACTCGGATTTTAATTACTCCCTTTAGTTCACATGTTGCATATTCTTTTACATTTCATTACCCAATCTAATACTACTCACTTTTCATAATGTTACTAAATATTTACCACTCATTTTTATGCCTTTTCAACTCACATTCCTTACACCCTTACTCACTGCTCTTTGTAATCAAATTTTGTTTTTGTTGTATGTAAACAAGTTGGTAGTTAAAAAAAAATCTGCGACAGTTTCTGTTCTTCTTTTTTTTCGTTGTTGAAGACGAGAAAGTTATGAAGTTCATTGACCACGCTGACATTTTGGCCTGCAGCAGCTGCACAGCGCTGACTTCGGCGACTCGTGGTCTTTTTTTAATGTATCATTTCTTTTTTATGATTTTTGAATGATTCAGGCGAATCACGTGCATATACTAAACATGTCCCGACGACATGTCTGCCAAATCGAAAAGAAAGTGAGCAAAAACTTATTTGGAAAATAGTAAAGAAGAAGATAGTAAAATAAGAGAAATGAAAAATTAATTGTGTGTAAATCAGACTGGCTGTGCCTAGAGGAATGCAAATACACTCAGATATTCTATATCAGATCACACCCCCTCAAATATGCATTGATTTGAATTTTTAACAGGTGGCAACCATCTTCTAAAATATTTTCAAAATTAAGCTTTCTTAAAACGCTCTCGCTCGATTGCCTTATTAAAATATTTCGTTTGACTTTTTTAACTATACTGAGTATGAATTTCTAAATAGGTGGCAACCCTCCCCAAAAATATTTTCGAGAAAACAGCTTTCTCTCTCGTTTGGTATTCATATTAAAAAATTTGATTAAATTTGTTAGTAAAATAGGTTTCAAACTTTTCGAACAGGTGGCAACCCTTTTGAAAAAAAAATTGGAAATTAATCGTGTTTGAATCCCTTTCGTTCGACACCCGCACTATTGTAATATTTTATTTAACTTATTTTGATTTTAACTTTTGCAAACGGTGGCAACACTCTCCAAAAAATATCCTATGTTAATCCAGGTTATAACCTATCTATTTGCAAAATTTCACTAAAATACGTACAGCTGTTTATTGTGAAAGTGCAGCAAGCCTACTCACACACTCACTCACAAACTTTCACAACTATAATATTAGTAGAACGTATGTGCATTAGGGTGCAGTATTTCAACAGAATTATAAAATTTGTTATATATTAAGTCTTCCGCCAAAATATTTCGGACAATTATTAAGATTCACGTGGGCTACCTCCGAAAATCTAATTTTTCTGATTCCGTAATAAAATGTTTAAATATTTTTATGCAGACCTTTTATCTCTTCTCTCTTTTCAAAAACTAATTTTATTTGTGTATACGAAAACTCGATTTTTGTAGGATTTTCAATTGGGTCCAGCTCACGTAAGTCTTAATATTTTTCCAAAAAAATTTGGCGAAAGTCTTAAAATATAATAAATATTATCATACCGCTGGCTATGAAGAATGATACACCCTAATGTACATATGCATATATAAATAAATTGAAATAAAAAAAAATTAGATGAATGGACTTTTTGTTTAGATATATTTTCGGTATATATTTTTATTATTAACTTTTTATTTAAAATTATTATGTTTTCAAAACAACACACTTTTTTGACTTATGCAATAAAAAATACAAGTAATGCTTATATAAATTTATTTGTATTTTAATACATTCTGAATAATATGTATTATCAAAAAAATTTCTAAAATTACCAAAAATTATAATAAATTTCGACTCATTTTCTTAGGCACGTAATTAATAACAACTAATCGCTTAACTTAAATACAATACTTAGCCAGCGCAAAATATATTTGCTTTTAAATTTCATACTTGTATAACTAAATAATTCTAAGCTATAGATAACGAGTTAAACTCAACGATCGAGGCACTCAGAGACAACAACATATAGCACACAAAATTCAACTATAAACAGCATACAATTTTAACTTCAACGCTCACTTCACGATTAACGACGTTGACGTCGGTCGATAACGTCGACTGCCATTCAACGCCTGTGACGCATGCGTACTCGTGTAGAGGCTCGCCGTAGCGCTGGTATTGCGCGCATACGCGCGATATTTATAGCCAGTTATCAGCTCGCGCACCGTCTTCCGATACTTGTCCGAGAGTACGCAGTAGAGGAAAAAATTCGCAGCCGCATTGATGGCGGCAAGAAAATTGAAAATATTACCAATTATCGCTTGCACATTGTTATCGATATCGACATTCTCCGATACAATTAAATATATAGCCCAAGGCAGTTGGCAAACGATGAAGAGCAAAACGACAGCGATCAGCGTAACAGTGATGCGATTCTCCTGCGAAACGGAGGAGCTGTGCGCTTTGCGTGGCTGTGGGGGGTAGGCAGGAAATTAAAACACTTGCTGGCGCCAAAAAAAAAACAAATAAATCCCAAAAACGTATACAACACTCACCGCTTTGCTGCTGCTGCTCATGCGCGAACGTCGTATACTATTCGCATTTGTCATTTCGCCGCGTAAATTCTTCGAACGTCGCACAAGCATTATCAGGAAGCAATTGAAGGTGGCCAGCAGGCATAGTGGTATCAGAACGAAAATGAAAAGTGTAAAAAAATACCACAGGCGTGTATAGAGCGCATTCTCGCCCAAGCTCGATAGGCAGTTTTGATAGTAGGTCACCTAAAAGCGATCGATAATTTTAGGGTAAAATTAAAATTAAAATTTAACTCACCTCCTCGCAATAGTCCGTTATATTGAAGAAGACCGCTTCGGCATTCTGTTTCGTTGCTGCTTGATCTTTGGTTTGCGTTTGTGGCGTCCATTCCTCATCCACACCATTGTAATCAGCAATTAGTTGCTCTTTCTTGGGTTCTTCATCCTTTTCGTTAACGGACTGCTCGCTTCCAAGTGAAATTCCAGCGCTCATCAAAAACTCTGAATCGAACAAATGTTCGGAGTGTCTATCCAAGGGTAGATAGCTTACAATGATGCTAGGAATGTTTCTATTGGCTGCTGTTAAGAAAGCTCCCTTTAAAAGTGAGCCTGCAGAAGCTGTATAAGAGAAAAGAAGAAATTAATTAAAGGCGAAGAATTCGAGTTTACAGAATTTCGTCACAACTGCCCAGAAAAATGTACCTATATTTTTCAGCAGCTAAAATTTCAACAGTCAAGCTGTCTGTAACGGAGAAAAGTTTGAAGGGTAGAGAATCTGGCTGAGCCAACTTCAATATGTGTGATAACAACAACAAACGCATTCCTCCTAAAATCCGCAAGTTTGCATCCCTTAGTGTGTTAATCTCTCTCCTAAGCTCCTCCTTTATAGTATTGGGACCTTCTCCCAGGAAGGGCTCTGGGCCAACTATAGTAATGGCTGCCGGCTCTCTAGCGAGACAATCAGCCGTCTCATTACCCTCTATTCCCCTATGGCCCTCTATTTCCCTCTGTACCCTCTACTCATTAATGTCTCCGCACATAGATAGATGGCATAGACTTCTGCCTGGAAGATGCTCGGATATTTCCCCATAGGAACAGATATTCTCATTCTGGGCTCATTCTGGGCTCATGGACTCTAGTTTCTACTCCTTCTGGGGTTTTCGAGCCATCAGTGTACCAGCTGGGTCGCTCGAGGTTGCTTAAGTTCTTATCCCGATGAGGCACACCAGCTTGGTGCCTAGAACCTCTCGATGGTTGCCCTTTTACCAGGATAGGAAGGTGAGGTTGGAGTTCTGACCTTCCGAGCCAACTGATTGCCACAAAAATATATACCAAAATATATGTCTTTAGTTTAGACATCTGTTCGAGGAGTTCGATTACTCCTGCAAGTAAACGGTTCTTCTGCGTGGGATATGTAGTAAAATAATCTTCTTGGGAACACGAACCGTACCTATTTTAAGCCAAGTCCTATACCAAAATCGCTTAGGCGGTTACAGCGGTAAGCAAGACAAAACAATATTGGAAATTTTTCCGAGGTAGTCGACATCGCTTTCCACTGCATACATACATATGTTCCTTCAATGGAGCACGTTTATTGATCGGATACTAGACTCGGTTTATCTCGGAAAACATTGGCTGGTAACATGGGGGGAGCACATATGCAGATGGTTTCAGAATTAATAATTTTGCGTAGAAAAACTGGGTAAATATTTATGAGTATGAACCGAAATTAGATGGTAATGATTATTGTTCAAATTTCTAAAAGAAATTTCACTTTTTTTTAAGCATTCCACGTTAAATATTCTGTAAGAAGCAAATCACATTGAACCGGTACCATATGATTTTACTTTTTGTTTATACCTCGGATATACCTCGGATACCTGTCCAATGTCCTGCGGTGTGCAGGCAATTTTCAAATTTTGTGAAGAGAGAAGATATTTTGTTAATTGTATGAGGGATAGTATCTTAAACATGAGAAACTCTAACAGCCTTATTCTGTATCACGAACGATAGGCAACACGAACGATTCGTCTGCAGAGGAATGCTTCAAAAATTTGTCCGGCGGCATAATTTTAGCCGTTTTAAACGCAACCGAGACCATTGCAACGTAATGTATGAAAAGCAAGATGAAAACGACCGATAGAGTTTAAAATCACTATCTGAGAGGTTGTCGTCTGCAGACGAATCGTTCGTTTTGCCTATCGTTCGTGATACAGAATAAGGCCTTAAATAAGAAGGCTACCATTAGAATCTTATAAAAGTAAAGAAGTTCTCAAAGTTGAATGGGAAGTGAAATTCTTCAAAGGTACGCTTTGCAAATCAGTTCCGGTTGCTATTCACTGCATTGCGCTTGGCCGAAATCCGAGTCTGAAAATAATCCGTTGAATATCACTCGTGCTTCAAACATCGTCGGATATTTCTTCATGTTTCCCTACCTAGGTTAGGTTAGGTTATAGTGGCAGACCCACGAAGGGGACTCACTTAGACATTTAATTGTCCATTGTGATACCAAATTACACAAATTCTTAGAACGGTAACTGTGTTGAAAATAAGAGAAGCGCTGGGTGCTCACAAAAAAGTTCCGCAGACAGCTGATGTCCACTCCGGAGGGCCCCTTGGGAGTGTTGATGAAATGCGCACCGAGTTGCTTAAACCTTAATCTAACGAAAGACGGGTGGCTGTGGAGGAAGTGCTGAGATGATTCCACCTCGTCTTCCAGACAGCTGCGGCAATAGGGATCCGTGACGATCTTGAGTCGCACCGCGTGCGTTCCTATAGGACAATGTGCGGTCAGTACACCTGTAAGAATCGAGAGCTGGCGCTTAGCCAACGGCAAAGTTCCAACAGACGCACTCGGGACACAGTAGCGGCAGAAATAGATAAGGTTCTTTCCATTATAAATATTTACTCTTTCTCTGAAGCAAATTTCCCGATTTGACATCTCCGTTCAATAAGCCAATCTCATCTTCGAAGCTGCACGCACTATTTCTCGTTTACCTCAGCATCAAGAGTGTTTTACAAGTTCATACTAGCATTCAGCCATACTACTCAATCGCTGTTAGCCATTCAAGCGGCAAAACTCCGCTTTAAGCTCTCGATGACACCATTTCGAAAACAACTACAGCACAAACGCATTTATACAACTCACATTGGTAGTATTTAGCTTCGATCTCTCCCCTTCAACCCACTGGTCTTCGTTTTGCCCCACTCATACAAACTTACCCTCAGTGCCCGCCAAAGTACCCATATTACTCACCTTTCACTTGCGTGCCACTCGGTCCGATTGCTGATGCCGTCGATGCTGCCGTTGCTGTTGTTCCTACCGCTGCCAGTTCGGACCATTCAAGCGTTACCGCATCCCCAGTTGTTAGCGCTATTGGCAGAGGTGTAGCAAGAGAAAGTAGCGGTGTGTGCGGCAAGGCGGTTAATGGCAATGGTGTCGTCGCTGTGATGGTGGCCCCAGCTGCATGCTTGGACCCGCCTTCCGCTTTACGTTTCAAACGACGCAATATTACATCCGGTTTTAGCTTCCACGCATTGCCTTCGTCTCCATCTCTGTTGCCTGTTTCTTCATTATTCCTACTTCGGCTGCTGCTGCTGCTACTGCGGCTGTTCAAATTGTCCTCTTTGTTCGCTACTGCCCCAATTGTGGAATCCAACGACCGTGTCTGCCAACTACGTTGCTCTGTGCGTTCATCCGCAACAGCCTGACCGCCACCACTTCCCTCGATATCGATGTATGGCGTCGCTATTGACGTTGGCATTGTTGGCATATAATGTTGCACAGGTAAATTTTGTTCGCCATCTTGTTGGTCCTTTTGTCGACGCTGTTGCTGTTGTTGCTGGCGTACGCTTTCATTGTAATTCAGTTGTAGCAATGATAGGCGGTCGGGCGCATTCGCTAGGGTTATATTACATGCGCTGCCATGGATATCAATTGATTTCTTAGTGATGCGATACTGATGTTCGAAAGCTGTCGAAATTGTGGAGAACAGGCAGAAGAGGACGACTCCTTGTGTTTTCCATTTATTGTTGTTTTTGGGTATTTTTCACAAGGCATGTTGCGTAAATGGATGAATAAGGCCATAGCATGAAACGCATGATGCAATTGCGGTGTAGATATGTATGTAAGAAGGTGGAAAGGTAAAAATGTGAAAAAATTTTATGAAAATTTTCAGCAGTGTGAAGGTAAAAAAGACGAACAACAGCAATCGAACAGCCACATATTGTTTTTGAAAGTGCAGAAAGCACACAAGTTAGGCTACTTTGTAAGAACCTCATACGCAGCTGTATATTTAGTGTTGCTTTAATTATGATACTCAGTATACATAGCTTGTTGTTGATCCTTTTCCCATTTCACAGTTGATATACATACGTATAGAGCACGAAAATATGTACATATATTCACACGCATGCCAACGCACAGAACACATTGTTGTTTCAGCGAAATATTGTAGTGATGAGTGACCGGCAATTAATCGATTAATATTGCAATAGTTTAGATGAAGAATATATATCGATAAAAACTCGATAATTTTTAAGACTTACATCGATTGCAAAAAATTCTGAATCTTAATATCAATAAAATTATCGATATTAACATATTTATCGATTAATGATAACTACAGATTTATCGAAAAATATAATTATTGACTCATATAAAGCAAAAGTGGATGTAAATTAAAAAAAAAAAAGATTGACCTGAAAAAGTTATTGAGCAGAATAACAATTATCAATCGATATTTTGGAAAGATATAAATTTTAGTATATATTACCTACATATATATCTCAAACTTTAAAGAAATTAGCAGAACCCAACATAAACAAGGTAAATACAAAATTAAAAACAATTAAAATTGGCGATCGATTATTTAAGTTTTTCTTCGTTTCATCCGTGAAATTAAAAAACAACTTGGAAGATTTTAATAAAAACTTCAAAACAATAAGTGATCCAGAAATAATATAAATATGTATGCAAAATTCAAAAACATTGAAAAGTTTATCAAGAAGTTATCGATTTACACATCAGTTATTGATCTTTTCTTACCTGAATAAAATCGAGACTTTGGTTTGTGTAAGAGATCGATAAAAATCGACTTTTGAAATCCAGGATATCATGGAATATTAAAATTTAATACCATTCTCATGATTTTAATAACAAAAACAATACACATTAAGTTATCGACCGATATACATATCCATTTATCGATAACACTCTACTTATTGAAAAAATAGCGATATAGCAAACAGAATTAGTTTGTAAAAAATTAAAAGAAAGTATTTAGCACCACTTAAAAAAATAAAATAAAACCTGTCGATCAATTAGTAGAAAGTTTTCGATTTGTTGAAACTTAAAAATCAATACTTGGGCGTAGATTTAATTAACACTTGTAAGATTTCCTTTTAAAAAATGTTGTCAATGCAGATAATAATCGATAAAATATCGATATGTAATAAATGTACTGTAAGACATTAACTAAATTTGTATGCTATTTGTTACAAATTCAATACAATAAGAGTTTCAAACCAAAGCGTTTATCGAGAAACGTATTGCAATAAATGGAATTATTTATGTACCTACCAAGAATTGTAGAATTGTAGAATTCTTAATTTTTATGAGACTAGTTTATTGTTTGAATAATGCTTGATATCGATTATAAGCTACTTTAATATGATTTTAAGGAAAAAGGTTTAATAAAATCAAAGTTGATTTAAAAGTTTTCATACAAAAGGGTTGATAGACAATATTTTGAAAATTTTGGTTAAGTATTCATAAAAGTCGACTCATCGCAATTTGTAAAAGAATCAATAGATAAATAATGTTTATCGATAAACGGGCATATTTATATTTATAAACACTTCAAGAAATCTATTAATTAATTTCCATATCGATTAATAACTTTTCTATCGAATTCTTTAATCAGTTTTAATTAAAAGCTAAAAATTTATTAAAAATCAATTTTAACAAAAATATTAGGAAATTTACGCATAATTTTGTCAATTAATTTTTTATATATCTAGATAAACTTATGTATTTATATTTAGAAAGTTATCGATTATTTTTTATCATTGAACCGATCGTATATTTCGATAAACTAGTATATCTATATTTAGAAAACCTTAAACAATTTATCGATTTACATATGTCGATTAATCAATTATCTATTTCGATAAGAGACTACATACGATATCTAGTTTAAACTTATCCAAAAAATATCTACACTTAGTCAATTTCATCGCTTACTGTTTATGGCTAAAGCTATCGATTATTAACTTATTTTTCACTCCTCACTATCAAAAGCACATCACTAACGTGCACTAAACAACACGCATACACATCGGCACACACGCTCACATTCATACTCACCTGTGATGACGCTCTTAGCCAGCGATTCTGTGCAGAATGTCTGTCGTTTAAGCGGGTAACGTATCGCAATAAATCGTTCGATCGTAAAACACACAGCAATGTAAATGGAAATATACGCTGTAATAACAACAACAATAACAACATCAACAGCGGGCATAGTGGCATTGACAAAAACAATGTCAGTTGATACGTTGCCATTCGTTGCAATGGAGCCAAGACGAAATGCCGAGAAGAAAAATAGCGAAAGAGAGAGAGAGAGAGAAAGTGATGGCGGAAAAAAAAGCAAAGCATATTAAGGTATTAAGACACTGCAACTACGTGGATAAGCTGTATTAAAGAAGAAGAAAAAGAAAAACCCATAGTAGGCAAATGAGTGACGGGAGTAACTCAAATTGGTTTTCAGCGCCTCGAATCAATTCGAACGTGATGCTGATTGAATTACAATGCAAAATGTGTGCGTAGTGGTGAAGTTGGATGGCCAAACGGCTTGAAGGTTGTTTCTTTGATTAAGTCTCAATGGCAGTCGCTTTGTTGTAACTATTTTTAACTGAATGCTAATGAAATTGCTTCGATGCAAACGATTTTTAAGTAGGCCGCGCTTAACTGCATTACTCGAAGCATAACTTAATCACACTTAAAATTTTTTAGTGAGATTTTTCACCAATGTATCAAATTTTAGAGACACCGAAATTGCAGTTATGTATGTACATAGGTACCTTTTACAGTCTCAAATCCTATCGTTCTTCTCTTTAATACAGCAATTACCCACGACTCTGCACTTACCACAAGCATCGCATAGCCACACCACATAGCCATAGCATTTCCAATAAATTTCCACTTGACGCTGCACATAGTCATAATGTTTGAGTGATAACAGCAATGCCATGGTGAGGTAAATAATATCTGTGATGGCGAGGGCGGTGAGGTAAATATTTGTTGTACACCGCATGCGTTTTCTAAAGAAATTAAAAAAAAAAGAAAAATTTGAATAATTAATAGAATTATTCCAAAAAAAATACAGTTCAATATTAGTTACTAGCCGAGGCTTCGCTACGCGCTGAATGTGTATATAAGCACGTGGCAACCCTATAAAAAATACAGCCTTATTGCACACCTAATGGCCAAGTCCTTTCATTTGAGAACTAATTCTTTTTAATGAATGAACTGCGCAAATCTGATGTAATTAATAAAAAATGTCTTCACATATTATATGTATACATAATGTTATATGTAAGGTTGTAATTTTTAAATAGGTGGCAACCCCACTACAAAAAAATAAAGCATTGCACATCTGAGGATCATATACTTTCACTTGTTTTTTTTTAATCGAATGAACTGTGAAAATCTGATGTATCTAATTAATAAAAATGGGGTTATTTTTAAATAGATGGCAAACCTATTCAAAAAAATTAAAGTTTTTGTACATGCCAAGGCCATACACTTTCATTTGGTATCTCACTTTTTTATCCAGCGAACGGTGAAGATCTTATAGTTTTTAAACAAGTGGCAACTCTACTCAGAGAAATAATACATTATTACAGATCTAGAGGCTAAGTCTTTTCATTTGACGGTGACGGTGAATATAGTAATTTTACCTAACAGGTGGCAACCCTATTCAAAAAAATAAAGACATTTGCGCTTTTCTAGAGGCCAAGCGATTTCATTTGACACCTCATTTTTTGCAATCCAACGAACGGTGCGGATCTTATGGCTTTTTAGGCAGGTCCAGAGTATATTAGAGAAAATCTCCTTTATACTATGTTTAGATATGTATTGTATGTATATAAGGGTGGTGTAAAAATGCATGTGAAAAAGTATGGTCGGAATTTTAATGCCGCCACCCCCTAGGATTGTTCTACACCAAAAAAATATACCCCTATTTTTTTATTTTGAAATCAAAAAATATTTAGGGAGTGCTCAAAGCGTTCAAAGTTTTCCATGTATTTAATATGAGGAAAAACCAACTTTTCGTAGAAATAGTGTAGAATTCTCGTCAGGAGACTTCAAATTAAAAATTAAGAAAAATTTAATTTACATAAATAACTTAAGCATTTCAAAATAAATAAATTATATTTATACTTTTTCCCATAGTTGCGCAAAATACTTTTGAAACTTTTAATTTAAATTTATTTTCAACCGAAGAATCTTGTTTTTAACCAACTTCAAAAAAATTAGGAGGTTTTCACTTCGTCGAAAAATTTTTTTTTTTTTTTTTTATGTAACCATGCATACCTTTGGACCACGTGAACCGATTTCTATAATTATTTTTTGAAGAGAATAAATCAACGTTACTCCTAAATTTTTGTATGAAGCTTGAAATCGGTTTTGTTTTCTGCTTGATTTCAATTTTTTTTTTTAATATTTAAATATAGAACTGGATAAATAGCTCACGCATTTTAGACTGAATAGTTTTTTTGAATTATTTTTTCTGAAAATGCAAACAAATTTACCAACATTTTAGTTTCAATGTTTTCACACCTAAAAAGATGTTGCTGAAAGTGCATACATATATGTATATGCACATTTTTTTAATTAATGCAATTGTATTAATTAAAATATTTGCAAAAAAAATTCAGCTACTTAGAGCTGATGAAACAACAGCACCTTATATGAATTCGCCTTGGTTTAGTCTATCAAAAATAAAAAACAAAACTGTAAAGAAAATTTAAGTTTAAAAAATTTAAAAAAATATCATGAAGTTTAATTTTATTTTAAATTCAGTTTTTTAAGTTCTACATTCGTGCAATTTCTTGTTGGTCCTTTTTTCCGTTAAAAGAAAGTAAATATATTTATTAAATTTTTAATTAAATTTTTAATTTTTAATTTTCAGAAAATATTTAGTTTTATGATTTTCGAAGGTTTTGATTCCCCTACACTCTGGAAGCTATTGAACAAACAATACAACAGGATTTTGAGTATTTTAATAATTTAGAATAGAAACATTCGTATTTAGAATTTTGCTTTACGCTTGTTATTTGTTTTTATTCTTATAAGATTGTCTACCTTAGTGCCAATATATTTTACATATGGGTATTTCCATACGTCGCATACGTGACAGTCGTACGTTTCAATGTGATACAAACAAGGAATACCATTTGTTTTCTTTAACTTTTTTTGGGCCATTGTATAGCACATAATTAGCTCTATATTTAACCGAAAAATTAGAACAATCGAACTGCTTGGTCCTGAAATATAAGCATTTAAAGAGAGTGTCGTTACGTGACAAAAAATGGAAGTAGATTTTTTCTTTTCTTACAAAATGGCAAAACTCTGCGAATTGTGGATGGCTATTTTCATGAAACTTATTTTAATATGATTTGGAGCAATTCTAGTTGTTTTTAGAGTTAATGCAACTTGTTTCAATTTTCTTGTACAACCCCAAGTGTGAAACGTCACGTGACGTATACTTTTATTTACTTTTAGCTTCGCCTTAGCGCCAAATAAAATTTTGGAATTCTTTTGTTTTACACCAACGTAGCGTCACGTAACATAAATTTCCATCGTTATATTTTTGTTAATATTGCTTTTAAATGAATTTTCAACGCAAATAAAACATGTATTTTATGTAGAATATACTTTATATTTTGACTTCAGCGCCAATTCAGGGTGAATTTGTTGGAAATCTATCAACTACATACGCCAAATTCGAACCAAATCGGACCATAAATACGGTTTTTCGAAATATCTCGACCTTGGCACCACCTAGGAAGACCATTTTACGCAAACATGATTTTACTTACATAGCCAGTATATATTTTAAAAAGCAGACAAATCGGCCCGGCCCGTAAATACGTTAGATATAAGATTTTTATTTTTTTTTTTTGTCGTGGTGGACCTTCCGATGGAAACACCCATATTTAATGTAATAATTATATTTATAATATTATACACATGCTTTTTTTATAAAATTCACTGAAAATTACCTAATTTCTGTTTGAAAGAAGAGAGAAGACAAGTAATTTCTAAGCAAAAAATAAAACCGACTTCAACTTGCATATGAAAATTTAATATATCGTTAATTTCTTCATGATCGAATGATGGGATCTTAACCAAATTAGTATTAGACCACCACTAAGCACAAACCTTTCCTTTAAAAACAGAGTTTTCGAAATCGGTTAACGTGGTCCAAAGTTATGCGGTAACATACATAAAAAACAAAATATTCCAATGAATTGATAGCCTCCTCCAATTCAATTCCTCCTTTTTTGAAGCCAGCTAAAAAAAAAGAAAAACGTACCAATTTTCTTTAATTAAAAATCGTATGCACAATCTTTTTGATAAGTAAAATGTTTATTATTTTTTTTTGTTATTTTTTCCGCCATTTATTTTTATAAAATTTAAATTGAAAGAAGAAAAGAAAAAAGTACAAGTTTTCTTTAAATAAAATTTGTTTGCAAATTTTTTTACAAAATCGAATTTTTTAATTTTTTTTTTTGTTGATTGTGTTATTGCTCTTTTTTCTTAAAAAAAAATTTGAATTATTTGTATTGCGTTTTTGCTGATTTTTTCTCATCGTTTTTCTTTTTCTTTTAGCACATTTATTGTATAGCAGGATAATTTATTGTGTCACAAAATCCTGAATTTAATTATCAACAAAACTAAATCTAAATTTTTTTATATGCAATAAACGACCAGAGCACAACAGCACTAAGCACACCAACTAAACCTGACTAGCACAGCTGGTAAGTTGCATTTCATTATTTATCATTCAATATTAAAATTCATATTGACCATTTTTATTATTATTCGAAAAATCTGTGTTTTGCATTCTGCGCTGCACAGCAATGCCATTTCCTATTCCTGCGAATTTTTCAAATATTTTAATGCGTTTTTGCATGCATTTATTTTTTGATTTTCTCTTCTTTTTTTTTTTGTTTTCGTACTCACCTGGTCAGTACGTAAATGCTCACAGAATTGCCCAGCAATCCGATCACAAATACACATGGCACCAATATGCGTTGCACCACATGACGCACTGCGGCCACATCCGCTGAGCTGAACATTTTTGCTGCACAAATGGTTTTGTTGTTCCATAAAATGTTGCGTGGTTTTTGTTGCTTTTTTTTTGCTTGCTGCTATGTTTTGGATTTGCTAACCACTTCGGTTTTATGTTTTTGGCTTTACTGCGTAGTGGTTTTCATAAATTTTGAGAAGAATTTCACTAAGCATAATGCGTTCTATGTTATTGGCTTCGATATTTGCTAATAATATGTAGGCACTAAATGTTGCTGCAACAAGTTGCTAAGGCATTTCGTGGTTTGAGTGTGCTCGGTTAGCTGCTTTAAAAATGGGAATATTCATATATTTGTGGTTTTTTTTTGATAAGCTGAAAAGAGAAAAAGGAGGAAAGTTATGATTTATTCCGAATTTAGTGCAATTAGAATGTTAAATAATAGATGATTGCTTAATATATCACAGCAATCAAATAGAAAAGATCAGCTAATTTTATTGCCTGACTTTGATAACGTCACTCGTCATCAGCTGATATTTTCTTCATCAATTAAAAAATGAGACGTCATATGATTTCGTGCTTATGTTCAAATGTCACATCGCATGTCAGCAATTGGTTTTTTCTCAATCGTCTGATGTGCCTTATAAAACTACCTAAATTTTTAATAAATCGCACTTTGATTCTTTTTTATATACTTAAATACATAAAATGCACCGCATCACCTCTCTTTAAGTCACATGATCGAGCATGCAACTACCCACAATCTCAAACTCGTATAAACAAATCAAATTTTTTCATTTGAAATTCCGCAATAAATGCTTCAAGCTCTGACAATTTTTACATGCAAATAAAGCATTTGAATTTTTTCCATATACATACACACGTTTCCATTTTTTTCATTTATTTTGCACTGCACACATTTTTGCCAGCTGAATTATTGCAAACGGCGCGCAACGGTACAAAGTGTCGAAAATTAATCAGCTAGGCAATTTTATATTTACTTTTAGCTTCGCCTTAGCGCCAAATAAAATTTTTAGAATTCTTTTGTTTTAGCTCATAATTTTTATAGTATGCATTTATATGAGTAAATATTTTTCGCATGAAGTACATACTATATCATAAACTCATGCTGTTTAATATTTACTTAAAGTTTTTTCGTCAAAGTTTACAAATACATTAAATTTTATATTAAGTAAACGCGGAAATTATAAGCAAACATTTAATCGTGAGTAGGTACATATTAGGGATGTTAATTTTTTCGATTTTTGCGATCTCGGGATTTTCGGTTTATTCGGATTATTTTCCAATAACTAAACATGAAAAAATTGCATCAATGTAGTTTGAGAAGCTGTCCTATCATATAATAAATAATAAATAAACGGGTTTGAAATTTACTTTATTATTCAAGTTTAAAAATATTTCATTAGTAAAATAACAAAAGACAATAACTGAATTTATACGCATTTACTTTAGCGTTAACATATCTGATAAAGTAACTTAAGGGGTGTCGAAAAAAGCTCGATGCCAAAAAACCGTCTTTACTCAGAAAATGCGAAATACTATTTCTTAGCACATGGTAATCATATGGGCAAAGGCGACTTTACCTTAGGTTTTTTTAACAAATTATAACAAAAATGTTCTCCAGATTTTTCCAAAAGGTAAATAAAAGCTCTCCATACATTTTTAGTGCATAATCTCAAAAATGCCAAATTTTGAGTTGTGACTTTTTTTAGTAGCAGAAATAAAAGAAACGCCTCATTTCAACCAGTTTAGTCTATAGTTCTTTATTTAATATTTAAATTTTTTTTATAAAAGTCTACCTCATTTTTATATATAATTTACTGCATTTAAATGCACATTTCAAAATTTGTACAAAAATTTTAAAAATGCAAAAAAAATTACAAAATTTTAAACTTTTTCCTTAGCATTTTTAGAAAATTTTGAGGAACGCAGTTTTATAGGCCATTAAAATAAAGTAGGATAAAATGCAAGTTTCATGCAGTTACAAAATACCGCTGATTTTTGGGAATTTTTTAAACGATGCTGGCCATTTTCTTCCATATAAAAAATTGTCAAACATACTTTAATGGCAGAAAATGTGTGTCACCGCCAGTGTACGAAAATAAACTATATTGTACGTTACTATTTCGTTTCGTTTATTACTTTAACAGTTCGGTACAATACGAAACAAAACGGCTGAGTTCACTTTGGCGATAGTACACTACAGTAGTTTAGTAGTTACAGACGAAACAACAAACGAAATGAATCGTGCAGGGAAAATATTTTTATGTATGTACATATATGCAATAAACAAATACAAAACGAATGGCTGCAATGAATAAAAAAAATAAAAATGTTTTTTAATTGAATTGGATATGAAAATTTACAGAAAAAATTATTTTTCACGTAATTGAAACGTTTGCATACATATAAAACGTACCCTATGGTACAATTGTCACAAACGAAAAGCAAACGTTTCTCGTTGGGGAAAATGACAGTGAATCTTACAATTTGTTTCTGACTATTTACAAAACTGTACAAAACCACAAATAATATGATGATCGATGAGCAAATGGGAATTGTTTTGTACAGTTTATTTTCGTACCCTGGTCACCGCAGGCAAAAAAATTATAAAAAATCAACGTTACTTTTAGTCACTTGCAACTTGTGCTCTATCCTCCTGTAATTTACTTATAAAATTGCGTACCTATATTTTTCTAAAAATTCGGAGTAAGAAGATTGAAACAGTTTGAAACAAAAAAAATTCAAAACGCACCAAGCAATAAATATACTCACGACACTATGAGCCAAATGTAGTAAAACTGCGTGTTTAGTTTTAGAATTTTTTTATTAGAACTGTATAATTTCAAAGATATGATGAATTCTAAAAAGATATTACAAAAACTCTGTGCAATGTAGAATAAAAATGGCTACCAAATGAAAGACAAAATTCAGTAGGATTTAAAAAAATTAAATTTTGTTGGGTTCACCTAGGACGAACAGGTGCCGTTTTAATCAATTTTATTTTTTTAAGCTAATAAAGATAGAAGGACTATATTCGAGGACGTTGTCGAGTTTATAATAGTCCTTAACATATCATTTTTTCAAAATAAATATTGCAAAATTTAAAGGATAGTCAGGGATTAAAGTTTTAAGGACATTTTCAATACCTTACGGACCAAAAACTTTAATTTGTTCTTTCTCTACAGAATTTTTTCTTTAATTTATAATAATACAAAGTTTATCGCGTTATCGATTTATATCGAGATATATACATTTTTGAGTTATCGAAATTTATCGAGCGCTCGAACTTCATAGTTATCGAAATTAGTCGAGTTATCGAATTTTGTTGAGTTATCGGATTTTAGTGTTTTTTTTTAATTCATCGAATTATCGATGTGTATAAAATTATTGAAATTTATCAATAAAATGGAATGTATCAGGTCGATTCCAAGTCCTGGAGATGTCCTCCAAAGACCTTCAAAGATATAAACAACGTTTTAGTTACAAAGCAGGAGATTTTCTGGTAAGTTACTTTCTACCTTATAAGTTAAATTACGTGTTAAGTGGAGAGGTTTCCAAGGCTCTTAAAAACTAGAAAAAGGGTCGAATTTCAACAGTAACTGGCACTCTAGTTTTTATTATTTTTCCACTTTACAACATTTTATGCTTTTAGTCATTACATCGAAAAGAGTGTTTAATTCCGAGTTAAACTAGGTACCATTTATAAAAATCAACAGAAAATTTTGGAAAATATGAATTTTCTAAACATTTGTAATTTCACAGAAATTTTGAATCAGTTGAATTGGATTCACTTTGAGGTTTCAATAGCTCGTTTGGAAAATTTGGAATTTGTCCGTATAAAAGATGTCATAACTTCGAAATTTTTTTATTGATTTTAATGATTGGTACCCAGTTTTAATCGGAATTAAACATTATTTCCGAAGTAATGACTAAAAGAGACTGTTTTCTTTTCAAATTTTGGCAAAAAGTGTTTTAGAAGTGGAAAAAATAATAAAAACTGGTCTAAATTTCAGATTTATTCCAAAAATTTTCCACCTATTTACAATGTGCTCACAAAACTTTTCCTTTCTTTAAATCGTACAAATATTCTTCTTTCTAAAGCTATATAAAAACTTAAAATTGGTTAAAAAATAACCAAGCTAAAAATTATTTGGTGCCGAAAGTCATGCGAAAATGGTTTTTTAAGAATAATTTGAGTGTTTGAGGGTGTTAGAAAAATTTTGAAAACAGTTTCGTGAATTACTCGGCCAGCTCTACGACCTGTGCTAGGTCACTTAAAAAGTTCGTGCTATTTTTTTATTATGTAACACCGCGTAATTCATTTCGGTCAAAAAATAATAAAAATTTTTAGAAATCGCTTTGCAAAATTTCTTTTGACTCAGGGGTGTACAGCTAATTCTTTTTTGTGTTTGCTCGTAAGGTGGTACGGTCTAATGTACATGCATGCATATATGTATGTATGTATCTGTTTAAACGAACATATTTTTCTCGACTGCGTTAATGTGTAATTAAATGTATACTATTCCGCAAATTGTTTGCTATGTTTACAAAATCATTAACACCCAAAATATTTGAATACGTTTTATTTCAAATTTATGGATACAATTTTGTCAACAAAAGTATTTTTAATATACGCAAAAAATTCGTATGGAAAATCGCACATATTATTTCTTCACTGTGGAGTATCCACAAAGGCCTTGCCGCCGACGCTAGTTGCCAGATGGCCTAATACTCAACTGCACTTAATCGGTGGCATTCCATTTAAGTATATTTTCTAAGCCCCATTATAAATCACTCTGTCTCCGAAAGAAACTGGTTTCTATGTATAGATTAGAGCGCGCGATTCGTATGGGAGATGCATCACAATATTGGTGTCAAACGAAAGAGTTTTAAAAAGAAATACATTATTGAATATGGTTGCCAGCTGTTTTAAAAGTGAAATTTAAATAAATTGTGCACAATGTATGCGAAATATTTCAATATTGGCAAAGTATTCACTACACTTCTTTTAGCGATACAATTTCAATTGGTTGATGCAGAAAGCATTTTCGTACTTTTTCCTATTGTGTGCGATTTCCTAAGCAAAGAGTTTGGCGTTTTAACGCCACACGGGTGCACTAGTATTTTACTATATTTTTTGCTTAATTCTTTCGAGAAAAACTTTTCAATTCTTCACAAACATGTTGCTCAATATTTTTTTTTTTTATGAAATACACATTTTATTTAAGTTGTATGCTTCCTTCCGTATTATATTTTCTCCTTTAAAGCAAGCTTCCTCTTCAATAAGCAACCACATTTGACTTCTTTGTTATTTCTATTTTTTTTT